GGGAAGTAATCAGTAATTAGTTACTGATTACTTTTTTCAAGTAACTTGACCAACACTGCGCAGAACTCAGGGAGCTGGAACCTATCCCAGCTTTCTCAGGGCGAGAGGCATGCTACACCCTGGTTGCAGGGCTAACACATAGACACAGCCATTCGCACTCACATTCACACCTATGGGCAATTTTCAGTTTCCAGTTAACCTATCCCCACTAACTCTATTTAACTGGACTGTGGGAGGAAGCCAGAGAACTCAGAGAGAACCAGGCAAACACAGAAAAACCTGATGGTGGAATTGAATGTTCTTGATGTGAGGCAACATTGCAAACCACAATGCCACCATGCTGCCCTTCCTTATTTATATAAACCTGAATTACAGGAATAAATATACTTCTTATTACACATAATTTCTACACTATATGAAATACAAAACATTGTCATAGTTACTGGGAGAAACTATATTCTGATGCCATAAGGTTCCTTTTTTTTTTAAATTAATATATTATTATTTATTGTAGCACGTCTTTTTATAAGGTCATGACTAACCCAGCTGGTTGTGGTTTGTGAAGTAGTGTCTGCTTATAGATTCGTATATTTAATAGTTATATGTTTAGCTTTTTTTCATTCTGTTTGGAAACATACTTGTTTGAAATGATATGTTATATATGATTTCAACAAAATGACAGCATACATGACACAAAACACTGTGCAGTACGCCCAGTGTTAGTCATAATATTGTCTAATATTGTCCAGTTCTGTGTCATTAAACGTGTGTATGTGTTCTTTTCTTTCAGTCCAGTTTATTAATCTGATTCTTTCTATCATAAACTGTAAACACTCGAAGATGCTGGCTGATATAATTTATCAGTAGTAGTATTTCCGTGTCATTTGGGAAAAAGTTGTCTATGAGAGTGGCGCAATATGATGGAAATAAGCTCATGTGTTCCAAATGTCGCCATTTCCGGAGAAATCACAGCATTTGTAACATTATTTTACACTTCAACACCTCTCCGCATCAGACCACCGTCCACGGGCCCTGCACGTATAACGTCACTGATGATGGTGATGGTGGCCGCTCCGTGTCGGTCAGGAACCAATACCGAGGCTGAACTCGTCAGACTGTGGATTTATTTGGGAATAACGCACTTCCCAGTTGGTTTGCGGAATTTTACTGACAGCATCAAGTCCAATGGCAGGTGCGCGAGGTGCATTGTGGGTGGTATAGTCTAACAGCGGAGAAAAATATACTGACGAATCGAACGCGTTACGAGTTCGACTACATGTCCCAGAACACACTGCGGTATCTTGAGCTGTGTGTATGTGAGGCAAAGAGGAAGATTTCAGAATTCGTCTAGAAAATTGGAGCTGCGCTGTTGTTAAACAGATATAATGGTAAGTGTACAAAACTAAGCCAAAACGACTTTTTTGTAATCATGTTCTTGCTGAATACAACATAAAGCGGATTATTCGACCGTTGTTTTTAGTTTTTCTTGCCACAGACTGTTAGTCGCAGTGATTGCTAATGAAAATGTAACATAAGCTAAGTTAAGCTAGCAAAGAAGATACTTAAGGTTAGCAATTGTCGCAGTTTACATGGTTGTTGACAACATGACTGCAGGCAGACACGGTTGTAGACAGCTTTCTTTTATAGTAGGAAACTCGCGCTTCACGCCTATTCGCTTATATATTCCGTGTTTAAGCATTTAGCCAGCTAGCTGTCTTTAACTTTGTTCCGTTGTGTGTGTTCGTGTTCCGCCCCCCTTTTTTACGGGAATCTCCGGGCTTATGACAGCGAGTACAGCTCCTGAATAGGTTCAGTGGCAGACTCTGCAGCCCACGGACCGCATACCTTTCCGTTTGCATCATTAGCTAGTTGTCCGGGTCACTGTTTTTTTTGGCTGTCTCGTCCCCCTCTCCCCATTGTGCTTGTTTTGCTCCCTCTCTCTGTCTCCCTCACTCCTCCCCTTGGTTTGACGGTTTGCAGATGTTGAGCACAGTTTCACGAGTTTAGCACACGAATAAGTTGGACTCGGTGTATATCTTTGGAGGAGCACTACTTTTAACAAGGTAGAAGGATTAGAGATATGCTATTGTTTGCTAACTATCTGCATGTGTACTTTCTATCAATATGTACATATACACAGTGTATATGTGTGTTTGTGTGTGAATGAGCACTCTTGCGAGGCAACATCCGAGATTAATCTACAATTTGTAGAATTTTGAACTTCCTCTGCTGATCTGCTGCTGGCTGATGCAGCTTTACTTTCCCAGTTAAGAGACTTATAATTATTTCACTTTGTCAATAAACACGACCTATTATGTTTTACCTTATTTTTTTCTGTCTTAATATGTAAGACAGACAGCAACTAGAAAAAGTTGCATTTCCTTCGAAAATGCTGTGTGAATGCCGTGTAGTAGAATCTGAAAACAGCAGAAGAAGGAGAACTATCTGCAAACACTGTGTAGAAGCTGAAGTCTTTGCTGAAAACTGCGTTATTTGAAAGGGTACAGTGAACAGTGTCAGGAAAGTGGAGTGTGTGCAACAGCCACAGGTAGGATTTGAACCTTGACCACAGGGTCTCACAGCGCCTCATGGCATTCACACAATGATAGCAAGAGCGGAAGGGTTACAACATTGTAGAGCAACAGCTGTGAAGGCTGGTTTGGAGATGGTGGGACTGATAAAAGACAGTCTGGGCTGAAGGTGGCAGAAATGAAGATGTTGGGATTTTTATTGAGAGTGAGCAGGATGGACAGGATTAGAAATGAGTGTATCAGAGTGACAGCTTAGGTTAGCAATTTGGAGATTAAGTTAGTCTTGCCTTACTGAGATGGTTTGGACATATGAAGAGGAGGGATAGTGGATATATTGGGGATATGATAATCAAGATTGAGCTGCCAGTTGGAAGCATAACAAGGAGCAGGTTCATGGATGTCACAAGAAGGACATGGAGAGGGTTGATGTGACAGGGGTGGCTGTGGCTCAGGCGGTAGAGCAGATCAGCTTGGTAGGTTGGTGGTTCGATTCCTTGCTTCCCCTTCTGCATGCCAAATATCCTTGGGCAAGATATTAACCCCAAATTGCCCTCCGATGCGGTTTATTCGGTTTATTAGTTGCACTTGTGTTTAGAAGTGCTTGTATGAGTGGGTGTGAATGGCTGAATGAGGCATGTTGTATAGAGCGCTTTGAGTACTCCGGGAGAGTAGAAAAGGGCTACATAAGAATCAGTCCATTTACAGAGGAGGTTGCAAGGGATAGGGTGAGCTGGCTGTGGCCAAAATAAGAATTACAAAATTGGATGCTCCTATGAAATAAAGATGGGATATATGCAAGAAATCCTTGGGAAACTAAAGCTCAGGTTTTTCTGCTCTTGGCTCTGTATTATGTCATTGGAGCAAATTTCCTAATATGGTCATGTCAGCCACAAAGCACAATCAGCAGAAAGGTGTGTCAAACGGGGGGGGGG